TAGTAGTAGTAGTAGTAGTAGTAGTAGTAGTAGTAGTAGTAGTAGTAGTAGTAGTAGTAGTAGTATTTTTTTCAGACAAATTTTGGATAATTTTCAGTAATGGACATGGCTCTGGGGCATCCATTTTGGATCAGCAAGGATAAAAAGAATGTTCAGAGTAGACCTATAAATGATTTTTTTCCTGATCTTGTAAGATTAGAGACTTAGATCCAATAAGAAAAGAAAGGCAAGCAGAGAAACTGAAAGATGATTCCCTCCCCATCCCAAGGAACATTTAAATATTTCTTAAAAGTACAAGATTAATGAACCAACATTATTTTATACCCAGAATATTTCTTAACCACTAGGATTCAGGAATCAGAATAGAGGAAAATTACTTTTTAAAATCCATGTCTCATGTTTAAATTCAACATTCTGTACATGTACGCAGGATCACATTTATAATAATATTACTTTGAAAAGGGCATAGACAACGAGAAAAGGAGCATGACAGAATGGAAATGGAAATTTAAAAAAAATATTCTTGGTCCTTCTTCTGCCACATACATATTTCTGTTTTTTCAAATAAGAATTACTAATACACTAGGCAATAGAGTCCAATGGCAGTATCTCCAAAGCATATATAATGACTTCATTAATATATCATAGAAATAGAAGAACCTGAATAAATCATCGAAATAGGACTATCTGAAAGATATTCAGAATTCTACATTTTCACAACTCAAGTAAGAGAGCCTATCTGTTCCACAGGTTACCTCACTGTTTAGCTGTCTCTATGTCATTCCTGGACATCTCCCCGCCCCCCGCCCCCAATTATTCCCTTAGAGAATCAGACACATGGGCTATTCTTTCCCAGGATAAACAATGCAACATCGAGTGTGGAAAAGGAATGAGTAATAATAAGCTAAAAAAATTAAATATATGAGATAGCTAACAACAAAGGAGGATGATCTCTGAAAGCAGTCATGTAATTACTGTAGATAATAGTTCTGCAGTAGTATCAGTCAGTTCAGTCAATCAAATAAAATTGATAGATAAACTACTAGAAGATGATTACTAAGTGGCCATTAGAGGAGCATGATCTTATATGGCTGCATCAGCATAGTATATTCTTCAACTCTTCAACTCCAGTAGGTTTTAAAATTATCGGCAAAAAGAAAATCTTCTTAAACCAGGCACCACCAAAATTTGTCAGAACTGCAATCCCAAAATTCTCAAGGGCTTCTGCTGGCTGGAGAACCTGGAAGTTGCAGTCTGTATATACTTGGACAACCCAGATTGGTGAAGATAGACAGAGGAAATAATTTGATAAGAACATTTTGCTGTTTTTCCTGTAGATGCAGATGGTTTCTGGACAGAGACGACCTAAAACACAGGATCTTTTACACCAGAAGACCAGAAAAGGAAATGGCTGTTGGATATTTTGGAATAAAAAGCTATTAAGTCTGATAGAAACACATTCAAAAAATTTGGGAAATATTCTCCAATAATGGTACTTTTTAAGGTGGGCATGCTTTGTATAAATTAACAGAACTGTATTTTATTTTTGAAATGGAGTAGATATTTAATGTATTGAACTACTTAAGAACTTTATAACTCTTACATTTATTATGCACATTGATAATTCTGATAGTTATTGAGCTATATTTTTTTAAATCAAAACACTTACCAATTGCCTTAGTGTAGTGCCGTGCCCCAAGTAACAATTCTGGAGCTCTATACCAAAATGTCACCACAACTGGGTCAAGGTCTGCCAGGGGCTTCAGAGGAGAATTGAATAGCCTTGCAAAACCCATATCAGCTGCAAAATAATCAGTTTTTGTATTACACCAAACAAAACTTTTCTAAAATAAATTCTTCTATACCGCTATTCCTGATATTATCAATGCCTCGTTTATCTCAAATCTAAGCCAAGTACACAATCTTACATTGCTGCCCTATCTAGAACTTTCCTATAAGACCTGTTTGAGGATATTATTATTTCCTCCCATCACAAACAATGTATTTGCATGGACAATATTACTCAAAACTTTACATTAGAAATGCATTTCATCCATGCTAGCAGCTACAAACATTCCCTATTGCCACTCCCTTAACAGCATAAACTATAAGTGCTTTTGAACATGTGTGTTGATTTGAATTGACTTCATCAGTGAAGATAACACCATTGTTTACTGTATTATATCAAATATGTCATAACTCAGGCTAAAAGAAATGTTCTGAGTAACCATTAGAAATATAACTGCCTTATGCAATTCCAAACACTTTGCTATTATTAAGACAATGTATATTCTTGTTCAGATTAATAGACTTGATATAAAACTTGTACAGTCAAATATTTTAATATCCAGCATAAAGTACATATAAGGCTGATATTCAGGACATTCAGGACAAAAAATATGGTTCGTGGCATGCAGAGCACAAATGAACCACCTGCAGTGCATTCAGAAAATATTCAGACCCCCTTCATTATTGTCAATTTTGTTATGCTGCAGCCTGATTCTACAGTTGTTGAAATTCATTTCTTTCTCATTAATCTACACTCAGTACCCCATGACAGAGTGAAGGGGGTCTGAATACTTTCTGAATGCACTGTATACTGCAGGCTAATTCTGCTGACTGCCATGAGTTCAATTCTCACCGGCTCAAGGTTCACTCAGCATTGCATCCTTCCGAGGTCGGTAAAATGAGGACCGAAAATATTGGGTGCAATATGCTGACTTTGAAAACTGCTTAGAGCAGGGGCCCCCAACCCCCGGTCCATGAACCAGCAACTGGGCTGCTCAAACAAGTGAAGCCCCATTTGTGGGATGCAGGCAGCACACGAACCACAGCCCCTCCGGTCCTCAGAAAAACCTCTCTTCACAGAACGGCTCCCTGGTGTCAAAAAGGTTGAGGAGTCACTGACTTAAAGAGTGCTGTAAGCACTGTGGAACGTTGTATTAAGCACTGTGGAATGGTGTGTAAGGCTATTGCTATATGTGGTTCTATAAAATAGCTGTTCTTTATCACAACTGTTTTCTGAAATGCTGTGCAATCTAAAAAAACAAAGCTGTTTTATAGTAGGCAGGACAGAGGTGTGTTGCTCCTGGTTTGGCCAAACTGGTAGTGATGATTTGGCCTGAGTCGCAGAACCAGCAGGAACCCAGGCTGGCCACGCCCCCAAACCAGTTCCCGGGTCTCTTCTGCCATTGCTGCCATGTTTCTGTGCATACGGAGAACAATTTACAGTCAACTGTGCATGCTCAAGCAATGTGTGGCATGTGTGTGAGCAAAGTGCATGCGAAGCAAACCAGTACCAACCAGTACAGGAACCCACTTCTGAGGCAGGAATGGAGTGTATGTATCCCCACAAACTTGAAACCACTTTTCTGCAATTTAAAGCACTAGAAAGCTTAACATTAAAGGTTTGGCAGGCCAAGGTTTTTTTGGAAGCACTGGTCTGACTCTATTCATACTGACATTATATAGATCATATTTAGGTAATAACACTCAATAACACTCATGAGATTTCTTTGTCAAAATGAAAGGACACATTGGGGGGGAGGGGCATCTCTAAAGAATCAACTGATTCAAAGGACACTGTGCCTATCTCCCACTGCCTCCATCAGTCTTTTAGTCTTTTTTTTAAACAATTAAAATTAATATGAAATAAATGTCTACTATAAAACTTGTGATAGAAATATGCCTTTTATTCCTTTGTATCATTTTTTTTAAATAAGTAAATTTAGATCCCTGTTAATTTGGGCTGGGCTACAAAGCTTTCCTAACTTCTGCCTAATTATCATATACTTAGACCAGTAAAACGGTGATATATCAAATGCTAGATGAGACCGATAAATTCTGTAAGTAGCAAAATTGTTGGTTACCGGATATTTTTTATCTACAAAGCTCTGGAGCTTTATGGATAATAACCAGTACCATGAAATGATCTGAGCAACACACTGGAAACCAATTTAATCACAATATGAGTAGTTTTGTACAATTTTAAAAGCATCTGCCAGAAAAATAATCAAACTTCCCTATTTTACATTAAATGAATTTTCTGAACAATTTACAAAAGCAGTTTTGAATAAAGCAAGGTAAATGAGAAGTACTAAGGAAAGGACTGCTGTAAGCAGATGTTAAGCATAAATTGCAGTTTACACCTTTGTTTGTATTGCTTTTAGGGTTCAAAATGGAAACATTTGGTTAGAAGGGATATTAAAAGACACATGCATTTATGTTCTATAGCAGAGGGGCCAAACTGGCGGCCCACAGGCCAGATGCGTCATACGCAGACCACAACCACCCCAGATCTGTGAAGGGAAAAACGTTGCAAAATGTCACGTAACAGCAAAATGACGTTGTGAGTTTGATCTCCATGTTCTATAGTAAACACGAGTCTCAACACAGGTACTACATACTTATCATTATGGAATATAGTACATTATTACATTGAGATTTTTTTACATTCACAATTCTTTTATAAAAATATATATAATTTTTTTTAAAAATTACACCCACAATTCTTATTGATGAATGGCAACATTTTTGCAGAAAAAAAAGTAGTGTCTATGCCACAAAACATTTTACTGGGAATTTTTGAAATAGGAAAGTCTTTTTTTTTTTGCTATTGACATAATCAATTAAAGCATGATAAATATAAAAGTATACATTTGAGTCTTGGTCAGAGTGAACCATTATATCATTATCGATCTCAAAAGCATGAAGCAAATGGCCAAATTTCCATTGACTCCAAAAAATATGGGAGAAAAGCTGTAAATTTAAATCCCAAACAAAGACACAGAAACAGACTTCAATTTCTGTGTATTGAAGTAAACATTTCTTCTGTGCAAATATGACTTCATTAAAACTAATAAAATAGCTAATGTAGTCATGTAATGTCTATGAATTTTCACAATAAGCAAGTTCATGAATATGCAGTTCAATATCTGGAGGATAATGATCTATTGTGGTGTCTGGAATGAACTCAAGTAAACAGCTTGTATAATTCTGCTATAAATTGCTCTGTAGAGATAGGTAAATAACAAATTTTGAAATTTGGCAGGTTTTGGTACTGATCCACAGAAAAAGTAAAGTTTACCCACAGAGTTAAGAGCTTCAAGCTTTTAAACATTCAGTCATAGCTGAAGAAGTATACTCAACTTTAATTGCTCCCTTTCAGTGGCTCCAAGAGCCAGAGAAACTGGTAACACCCGTCTTTAACATGCATTGTTATTAGTGCGTCAGTAGAGATCTACTCCTATCCATATCCTTAAAACTGGTTCATACATCACATCAATCACTCTAAACAGTTTCTTGCTATTAATGTACACAGAAATTTCTCATCTGCATTTAACCCATGGCAGTTTCCATTAGCTGTTTCTGGGGTTTTTGGAAGTAGCCTAGAAATTTTAGAGGTAATAACAACCTACCCTAGCAACTTATTATATATTTTATAATCATTGAATACGGTAATTCTAAATGTTTGTTTTTGCACTTATCTTGTATACCAGTGGAACACATTCTTTTTATGGTATCGTCTCTATTTAAATGAAATATAAGTTACTACTGATCACTGGAGAACATGGGACTTTCTCCCATATTATTTGGCTCCTTACTTACCCACCTCTAACCACATTCAGCTGAATTCTGGAAGCTCCTGAATGGATGCAGGAAACTCATTTTCCTTTCTCATATTCTCCTATAAGCTTTCCTTTGGACCAAATTATCTATACCACCTGTAACTCAGTGTGGTTGAGATATTTATATTTTGCTTTGGATTTCTATTAATTTCTATTGTACTTACATTTATAAATACAGGTAATTATAAAACTTACCTATTTTAACTCTTCCTCTTTCAGGACCTTCTCCCATTACTAGAATATTTGCTGGTTTCTGGGAAAATAAAGTAAAATATCCATATATCTCATGTATCATGCATTACTTTAATGGTACAAATTTATATATAAAAGATTTAGAATGCACAGATCTTGCACTTTCCTCCCTTGAAATATTATTTAAAATTGGATATACTGTATATTTCTTTCAATATAGAAATAGAATTATTCTTTTTTTTTGGCAGTTGTTTGCTCTCCAAGCTTTTCAATTTAGTTTCTAAACATTTCATTACCAGACTAGAAGGGAGGGAGGGAGAGGGAGGGAGGGAGGGAGAGAGAGGGAGGGAGAGAGAGAGAGAGAAAGAGATAGAGAGACCCATTTCCCACAGAAAAGACCGGGAGCCACAAAACCTGGGTAGGCTTGGCTGGGGAGCCATGTGACTGGATGGGAGTGATGAGTTGGCCACGTCCACCCATTGTCACGTTTTTACTGACAACTGAAATATGTGATCTATGTACTGTTTCTCTGTCGAGGAAAGTATAGCCAGCCAATTTTTCCTTCAACTGGAAAAAATCAATTTATTTTTATTTTCATGGCCTGTAGCTGATTCTGGAAATTAGCTTTAATTGTTTTGACTATAATCTGCACATTTTTCTTTATATGGAAGATACCGTCAGACTCCAAATTGTCCACAACTCTCTTTTTTCCCCCAAAAGAAGTAGTCTTTGATTTACTTTGATTTTCGTTTAGTGAAAGGTACACCGGCACTGAAAAAAGTAACTTATGACCATTTCTCACACTTATGATGGTTGCAGCATCCCCATGGTCACATGTTCAAAATTCTGACACTTGGCAACTGACTCATATTTATGACGGCTGCAGTATACTGGGATCATGGGATCAGCTTTTGCGAACTTCTGATAAGAAAAGTCAATAGGGAAACCAGATGAACAACCGTGTCACTAACTTAAGAACTGCAGTAATTCACTTAACAATTGTGGCAAGAAAGATCATTAAAAGGGGCAAATTCACTTAATCAATGTCTTACTTAGCAACAGAAATTTTGGGTTCAATTGTGGGCGCAAGTTGAGGACTACCTGTAAAGACATCATCCATAACTCATCTGCATCTAAATCAGTTTTATTCCATATTAGCATCTTTAAGATATGTGGACTTCAACTCCCAAAATTCTCTACCCAGAGGAGTTTAAATGCTCACATCTTAAAGTTACTGAGGTTGAAAAACACTGGTCTAAACCTTACTCACTATGCCACTGAAAAATTCCTTTCCCAGGCAAATTTTCCAGTGTATATTATGTAATTTCTCATTTTTTCATCCCCACTTCAATTCTAATCTCTCATTGAGCAGCTTCTTCTGATTCATTTTGTAATTTGGCTTTTCTCTCACCATTTAAAAATCCTCCTCCTCCTGAAGTGTCTCTGTTCCCATCCTTATTTCTCTCTTTCAGATACTTTCCAAAGGTATCCCATTAAACAAGTCAAAATTCCTAATGTTTCTTGACCTCTACTTAATATTTATGAAACATTCACGTCCTGAAGGGACCAATACAACACCTTAGTTTGTCAGAACAGAGCAAGGGATACAAAGAGAAGCAAAAGTTAGGAAGAACTGAGCTCTTCATTGTTTATTTATGTGCTACGTTTATGTCCCTCCCCAATCAAAAATTGATTCTGAGAGGCTCACGTACTTCATGCAGTAACCCAATTAAAAATATCAAATTGTAATAATAACAAAGCAACAATTACAATCGAGTGGGGGGGGGGGAAGCATCAGGAGACTTACAAATATTTCCCTACAGGAAAGAACCATGCTATCTTTCAAGCTTGCTGAAAGAGCAAATCTTAATGGCTTTATTGCAGGAATGTCAAACTCAAGGCCTGTGGGCCGGATCCAGCCTGCAGGATGCTTAGATCTGGCTGACAGGGGCACCCTGGAAACAGCGAAGGACCAGTCTGCGGTGCCTCTGACAGCAAAAAGGGAGTTTGGGAGGGCCTCATCAAGCAGAGGGCTGCAGGAACACATCATGGCCAAAACAGAGTCTGGGCAGGCCATGTGTGGCCTCTCTGGGCTCCATTTTTGCTGGTAGAGGGCTGCAGGAGGCCATTGTGGCAAAACACGAAGCCTTGATGAGTGATGTCAACCTGGCCATGCTCACCTTGGCCAACTCCCTGGCCACACCTATTCCCTGCACCCCCCCCCCCCTTTGAGATCAAACACAGCCTTGATGCAGCCCTCAATGAAATCGAGTTTGACACTCCTGCTTTATTGGATCTCTGGTGTGCATTTGCAAAGGACAGCATTTCAGAAAAGGGGGCAATGACAAAGAATGCTTCCTTATATATTCAGTCTTGCAGGGCTTGTGCTCCAAACAAGACGAATAGGCTGATCAATTGGTATGACAAAACTGTTAGAGAAAACATAGTTTTTTGAGACCACATTTCTAAGATACTATCATCTACAGGTCGTCCTCAACTAACAACCACAATTAAGCCCAAAATTTCCATTGTTAAGCAAGGCAGTTGTTAAGAGAGTTTTGCCCTATTTTACAATCTTTTTTGCCATAGTTGTTAAGTGAATAACTGCAGTTGTTAAATGAATCATTTGGTCATTAAGCAAATCTGGCTTCCCCCACTGACTGCTTGTTAGAAGCCAACTGGGAAGGCTACAAATGGTGATCACATGACCCTGGGATAGCGCAACTGTCATAAATAAACCCTCAGGGCCAAGCTCGTGAATTTAGACCACATGACCATGGAGTGCTGCAATGGTCATAAGTGGGAAAATCGGTCATAAGTCACTTTTTCCAGTGATGTTGTAACTTTGAATGATAATTAAATGAATGGTTATAAGTCAAGGACAAACTCTACGTAAATGTTCTCAAAAGATATATAGAAATATATACAAATAATTATATAGATGGAAAGAAGATTGAAATACAGATACTAAGATGGCCTAAGATGAACAGGGTTCTCCAATCTTGGCAACTTTTAAGACTTGTGGACTTCAATTCTCAGAATTCCTCAGCCAGGTATTCTGGGAGTTGAAGTCCATAAGGCTTAATGTTGCCAAGGCTGGAGACCCCTGACCGAGAAGGAATCAGATCCAGTGTGACTTCTAATATTGTCTTCTCTCAGTGAACTCTTCACTGCGAAAAAAGAAAAAATATATTCAAATTTGGTATATGTTTGTGCAATTCATCTGATTCTGAAGATTTAAATTCATTCAAAATAGTTATTCTTTTAGGAAACTCATGACCAAAATTAGGGCATATTCAGTTTTGTATGAGAGACCTCTATTTCTGTCCTCCTAAATGTACAGAAAGCAGATTTGCGGGCATTTGGGTATAATAGAGTGTGAAGGAATTTATTCTGTTAGCCGTAAACATTCTGCTTACTGATGGGTCTTGCTGGTTTTCACCCTTACTTAAAAGAAAATGTTGGCCCTAGAGTAAGCCACGTTAGTTGCTATAGAAACAAAGTTTTGGAATTTCATGTTTAAATTATCAGGAATAAAAATTGAACAAAGAGATCCCAACTGAGACTAAAACATAGGGCTTGACTATCCAGTAAAGATATAATGCAGAATGAACAAGATCAAAAATAGCACAATATTTGCCATGGAGAAAATATATGCATGCTGCAATTTAAAGCAAAATCCTTGGAGTTGTAAATACTGAATTGATTATGTTATCATTCCATTCAGATTAGTGGACATAAACAATATAAACATCTCAAGGAGAAAGAGAGGGCAAAGGCAATTATGACATGCTGTTGAATAAAACTCGTTTAACATAAAAAAGAAATCAATCCATATGAACATTGCTACTGCATCAACTCAGTGTGATCAATTCTTTTAGTATGGAGAAGGTCAAAAGGGAGCCAGTAAAAATAAACAGAAGTAAAACTGTCTGCAGTTTTGAATGAGAGGAACACACCCGATTAAGTGATAAGAGAAACAATGGACAACAGAATGCTAGCATTTTAGTAACTTTTACTGTTCCCAGGCTTATCTAGAATATAATTCTTTTGAAACTTGACATTCCCATGAGAAAAACATTCTCTTTAGCATAGTGCTGTTGTCCAGGCACGTTCTTATTTTAAAAAATGCATTGTATTGCCTTATATATTATATTATGGAACTATATTGCAAGGATTTGTTATCGTACGTGAAAATATTTATATGGTAAATTAACACTGAAAAGTATAAACATTGCTGAGATTCTTGCAAAAAACTAGAACTGAAATTAGGAAAACACCCTCTCCTAAAGAGAAAATCTAATAAAAACAAAGGTTTTAAACACTCAGTAATTCACACCAGGGTAACAGAGATCCCTGAAAATAGAGATCCTGATAACATAATCTTGGCCAATGAAAATGAATGAACAATAATGGTTATATGATTATTTAACATGGCACAATTATTATTTGATAAATTAAGCCACTGGCTTTAACATGGTCAATGTATCATGGACTTAATGCACTGGATTTCAAGATCCATTGTACATAAGGCCTTGTGTGATCATTATTGTGCAAATGTGCATGCTGACAGAATACACTGGGACTGTGTATTAGACATATCTAGTTCCTTCAATCGTTCATTATATGGTTTGGCCTCCAGACGCCTTATCATCTTTGTTGATCTTCTCTGCACTCTTTCTAGAGCCACAGCATCTCTTTTTTTGTATCACTTTGCATCATTTTGTATTTTATACAACGAATGAGAGCTTTTATTAGGACATTCATGGGCTTTGTACATTTGCATCCATTGCACTTTTGATCCTGTAGTTAACTTTAATGAAAAGCCTTGGGGCACAGTTTTAAATAACAGGAAGAAGATTCGTAAAATACTGGAAGGCTTGCCACCTGGGTATCATGTCTTCTGAACTACTTGGTTAGAATGAATCACTGCACATACCTGAAATATAAATTTATAAGGGAGACAATATAAAAGTAAACAAATATTGATCATATGATGGGCTGGGTACATCAACATCTTTATTAATGGCATAAAAAGTTTCAGTAGTCTCAATGT